TTGAATTTCATTCCATGTGGGAATAGTTATAAGGTTTGATTATGCTCCTGAATCAATTAGAAAAGCAATTTTAAAGTCTGGTGATTGAAAGTTTTTATACTTTGGACTTTCTAAGAGAAGTAGGATTGTCCAAATTTTTTCTTTTGGTGCTTGTATTTTATTTGTCGTATTTAGATATATATTAATCACATTTGAATTATTGGCGATAACTTGTTGTGTATAATGTACGGTATTTTGGCTTTTAATCGGTTCGCCGAGATTAGAATTGGTTGCATTGTTTTGATAGATTTCCAATTGATTGGTGTTTCGTAATCATTTTTGACTAGAAGCATGTTTATTAAAAGCGTTTTTCGTTATCTCTAGCTTAACAATGTATGTGATTTAGCTTTTTTTCCACGTTTTTTGTATTGTCAATACCGGGAGGGTCTGTTTGGGTGTTTTCTGTTGACTGTACTTGGTTCATATGTCTTCGATGTTTTCCTGTAATACTTCTGTATTTTTGACTTTGTGAATTTGAGTTTTGAAAGTTATTTCTATGTGGTTTTAATTGTTTTTCTGTCTAGTTTGAATAAGAACTATTTCTATTATAGTTCTAGGAGTTACTTCCATTTGAATTGATCTTGAGTAATTACTGCGATACTGATTGTTCTGACTATTTAACATGCAATATCTGTTTTATGAATAATTCTTTGAATTTCTTCTGTCTGGAGATCTTCCGCGAAAATAATTCGATAGAGAGATTGTGATCCGCAATTTTTTGTAGCAATCTGGAATTGTTTTTCCTGAGCTGTTAGTACTTGGAACATTCTTAATGAACTTTTTTCGTGTATTGGTAAAAAGTTTTATTTGATTCTCTGTGGTTTTGTGGTTTGTTTTGGTTATCCTGTTGTTTTTGTCTGCATTCAGCAATGCAAGGTCCGTATCTACGACAATAGTTGCACCGTTTTTGAATGATTATTTACCATTGACCTTTGGGTTCTTTCCGTAGATGTTGAATATTTGGGTATTTTCTTCTGCCAATTCATTATCAGAGTCAAGAATATTTTCAGTTTGTTAAGTTGTCTGGATATTGTTTACATTTTGTAGTTTTAAATTTTCTGTTTCTTCTAATTTCATAGTGATCTCAGCTTGTTCTAGTTTGTCTACTAGCAGTAGAAATACTACCGTGTCGGTTTCTCGAATTGATGATGGATGTATGCTCTCTTTTTTATTGTAACTTTTCGTATTGTCGGTTTCTCGAAGCTACCATGTCGTTTTCTCGAATTAATGATGGATGTATGCTCTCTTTTTTGTTGTAACTTTTCGTATTTGTGGTGTTAGCGTCAGCATTAGAATTTCAGTCATTTTCGTATTTTTCTAGTCATGTGTATCGAGGGAGTCAAACATTTTTTTTGAGATTCTTGTGTGAATCATTACCAAATTGATTTAATTGTTATAGTAAAAATTGAGAACCATTTTTGAGCTGCACCATCAAAGGTGGTTTGTATTAAAGTTGTACGTGTATGTATCCATTTTTGATGGAGTGATGTAATTAATGGTTCTGGGCCTGTATTTAAAATAAAATGTGCTGTGACTGCATTTAGACAACCTTCTACTGAGTATTCAGGGTCTGTTTCCGTGAATAACATGAGTGGTTTATTAGAAGATTTGGATGATCCGCCCTTAAGGTATGGATTCATTGTCATTTGTAGTAATTGTGCTGCGTTTGGTATTCGTGATAAAAAAAATTGTAAGTTGGGTCTTTGTAATTTCATGTTGCTGTAGATAGTATGGCAGTTGATTAGCTTGATAACCTTGTGTGTTTATAGAGTTTTCTGATTTAATTTTTTCTTATAAGATGCTGAATTTTGTTTTTAAGGAAAGGGTTGTCTTCGTTGTCGATTTGTTCAGAACGTGTATAAGGTTTAAAATTATCTGATTGGTAAAAAATATTCCGGTTGTTTTTTCGTAGAATATATTAGTGTTGATGGTTTTGATTGAACTAGTCTTCTTCTTCTAAATAGTGTGATTGATTTCTTGTGAATTGTTTGTTCCTTATAGTTTTTGTTTAAAAAGTTAACAATTTTCACGACGATCTGTTGTAGTTCCTTGTTGGTCTTTAAAGAAAACTGAGTGGGGGCTTGTTGTGGTATCTTGCGATTGTGATATTGTTTTTGTGACTGATTTCGATTTTGTGTTCGGGTTTTTGTTATTGGTCTAGTTCAATTGTTATACGCAAAAAAATACGTAATTGCGGTATGAAAAACTTTTTCTATTTGGAGTATTTTGCTTGTTTGGTTGTCGTGTTTCGGTTATTGATCTTTACATTTGGTAATCTATTTGTGAACATTTTGGCACAACAGATGATTTTAATATTGATTGAATAGTGGAGTATTTTTTTATGTGGTGTTTTAAGTGTAGGATGAACAGGAGAAATGCTTTGTGGTGTTGTTGTAACTATTTCCTTGTTAATCAAATATGATGGGGTTTGAATATCCTATTTTGTAAGGTGTTTTTGTTCCATTGAGGGTTTCTTGTGTGTTGAAAATTAATGAAATTAAACTATTTCCCGTTCTATCGATGAAATTAGTTTTCTAGTTTAAACGTGTTGCATCAGAATAATTGGAGTAACTCTTAGCTAATTTTTGTGTACAGAAACAGTGGTGATAGTTGCACTTGAAATGACAGTGGTTATATTACTAAACAATGGATGAGAACATTCAGGGTCGCAAACAAAATCTGTTTGGTCGGCTTATAATGTTTCATTGTCTAAGGTTTGTGGTCGTAAACTATTTGATGTTGAAATGAAGTCTAAATAGTGAACAAAATACTCTATTATTAACCATGCAAGGATTCGTTGTAAATAATGTTTTAAATTTTTTATGATGTCTCGTTACTAGCAAGGTTTTCACGGATTGTATTCAGAAATTTTGAGAAAGGAAAATTATCTTGTCTTACAATTGAGTGTCGAGATGTCTGAGGTTGTGATTCATTTGATGTTTCGTTTAATTTTAATACAGATATATAACTTAAAAATTAGAGAAAACATAGTTTCTAAAAATTAAATTTGCTCTTTGTGAATTTTGATGTTGTGTAATTTTACGTCTTCTCTGAATCCTTTTGAGAATTCTAGATCTTTATCATCTGTTTGTATTTGATGCGGTGTTTGATTTGGTTGTGATGGTAAAATCTCAGTGTGAATATTCCGTAAAATGAAGTGAGTTTACAGATGCTTTTATGTAGCGATCAAGTATTTTTGTCTTAATTCTTATTTCGGGAAATTCCTGTGTGCATGAACTACTTCATTTTTCGAATAAATTTGCACTTAAAGGAAGACAAAGTTATACTTGTCCTCGAGCGGGATCACTTTTTGGATAGATAACACCGTTAAACATAGATTCATTGTCAATTTTTTTTCGTATTGAATCAATTTTTGTATTGTAGTACTGCTAATGTGTAACTTTCATTGTGTCTAATTGGCTGATTCCAATTACATAGTTGTACCGGTTTTTGAACATGTGATTTTTTTATTCTCGTTTACCTTTTATTGGTGATGGTGATGTGGATTCTGAGTCAGAAAAAAACTTTTGTCCTGTTTTGGGCTGTTTTTATCTATCGAATCTTTTAGGACCTGAAGCTCTTGTAATGTAGTTGTAACTGATTCCAAAATTGCGTTAGGTGTTTTTGAAAATCTTCATGTTTTTAATTTGTTTTTGTGTTGCTATTATTGTAATTTTTTGTGTTTGTTTTTTGGATCTAATATACCCTATTGTTTGCCTTTGTAATGTAGTTGTAACTGATTCCAAAATTGCGTTAGGTGTTTTTGAAAATTTTCGTTTTTTAATTTGTTTTTGTGTTGCTATTATTGTAATTTTTTGTGTTTGTTTTTTGGATCTAATATACCCTATTGTTTGCCTTTGTGGTGTTAAAACAAGATCATAACCTTCGTCTTTAATTAAACAATCGTGTAGTAATATGGTTTGCTTACCGCCTAAATTTTTTTTGACATAAGGTTTAGGATGATGAATGCAAATTCGGAGATTAGAAAATTTCAATTCTTAAACTGTTTTTGAATGGTTTTCTTAAATTGGGGAATAGAATATCGAGGTTGACGGGTTGGAGAGAGAGTATGTCAATTCTTTAGAATGATGAATATTTTCTCGTGACTAAGTTTAATTGTAAGAAAAACTTACTTAATCTTACCTGGGATATTTAGTGAAGGATGAGTAACCGAAGTTCTTCACTTCACTTTTTATCTTGATTATAATGGTTAGTTTTTCTTTCTCCTAATCCTGGGTTTTTGATAAAATTTGTAGAGTGAGTTGACGTTTTAGGTCGTTAGACACTTTGAAATATGAGGTGAGGAGAACAAAGTTGTCCTGATTGATTGAAGGGAAGCCATGATGATCAGTTGATTTAAGTGAAACAAATTTTTATATAAAGTTAAATTAAAGATCCAAGGAAAAGCTTAATGATCAGTATTTAAAGGAAATTTAAATTATCAAAAAGCAACGATTGGCCATGATAAAATTTTGTGAATATAAATTTCAAGTTATAAAAAGTTATAAAATGAAAATTACTTTAAGGAGTAAAGTTTTGATTGATGTTAGTTTTTGAATAAATTTCTTTATGTTTTAGATGATGAAACGAGGATTAAAAAAATGTATTCTTGAGAAGCAAGAAGTTTTTTCAATAAGTTTAATAAAACTAACGTTAATATTTCCTTCTAATCAATTTTTGTATTTTTTTTTCAAAAAAATTAATTTCACAAAAGTTTTCCAAAATTAAAGTACTGCAGATTTTGAAAGGACTGAAGAGTGTATTTTTTATCAGTCGTCATTTTTGTTATATAATTTAGCTATAAAGCACCAAGTAGATTTTTGAAGAAGTCACTTTATTCTTCACATAAAATAACTTTCATGTCAATAAATGAAAACTTAAATTTACAGCATAGAGGATTCTGAAGACATATACTCTTTGCGGTTTGCGCCGTACTATCATGTAGTATCTTGGTCCGTCGTTCAATCGATGTACGCGTCGTGATCTTGTTCTTCGTTCAACACCTGGTACTTCTCGTATTGTTTGAAATGTTGGCCTAGATTCATTGAGACGTAGAGACATATCTAATAAATTGTCTGTTCCATCTAACATTTTGCATTCTTGCAATTTGTTTCTTCTTCTTATTCTAATTTGCTAAAGTTAGTTAATGTCTTTTCGAGATTTTGGTCGCACCAGATGAATTTATGCTAGAGGTAGCTTACTCATCAAGTAGTTTGAGATAAGGTACACCGTCTGTTCGTCACGCTGTCTTATAATCTAAAGGTCGTGAGTTCGAGCCTCACTGGTCGCACCAGATGAGTTTATGCTGGAGGTAGCTTACTCGTAGAGTAATTTCAGATAAGGTACACCGTCTGTTCGTCACGTTTTCTTATTTTCGGCGGGATAGATTCGTGCATCTTCTCAGTCTAATACCAATCTTAACCTTTACTCTTATATCTCCTAGTCTCATTAAATCTAGTGTATACTTGTATTTGCGAGATAGTTTTGGAATTTGTCCAAAAAAAACTGTAGTTTATGATTTATTCAAGTTGCTTTGGTGCTGAAACTACAAGTATTTTCAGCTTAACAAATAATTGTCAGTGTTAGTGATGGAATATGATTGGTTATTTAGTAGTATTTTATAGGGATAGTTTTATCAATAATATGATTAGTTTATAAATACTAGTTCAGAACTGGTTCCAGTATCCGGCGTTGTCAAATGTAAGCCAAAATAAACCATGGTGAATCATATCGTGGCCGTTTTTGAGAGATGGGGTAGGGGGGGGGGGTCTGTCGATCTTGATTGCAAATTAATTTTCCTAAAAAATTAATTAAATTGATTTCTCAATGAAAATCATTTAAAGATAATTAGCAAGAACGACAAATCAATTGCAATATTCAACCTTACAGCATAGAGTTGGTTGCTAAAATTTTATTTTTTTCTATGTTTTTTGGCTCTTTGCGTTTTTCGTATTTTTTATTATGATTCAATGATAGTTCAGACACCTCTATAGCTCATGACGCTTTTTTCTTCAGGAAATATCGTTTTGTTTAGAGAAATTATTCACTGTACCTGTTGGTTTTTAGGCGTCCCCACTCTTCTTCAAAGACTATGAGGAAATCTTCAATGGGTTGCTCAACCCCAACATTAAAGAATTCGAACAGTAAGTATAATACAACACTAAGTAATCAACTGGTTCTCATATGATTCAATCTTAAAGTCGTACTTCGTTGAGCAATTTGGCGAGCTGAAAATTTGGACTTTGAGCTTCAAAATTGATTTGCGATTGGCCAAAGTGCTTTTGAGAAAAAAAATCAACTTTCAGTCTCAAAAATAATTGTAAATTACGTTTTGATCCAGTTGAGTGCGGTGAGCCATGCTTTTCTCAAGACAAGGGTGGTGCCTACTTACTTCTGTCACGGCTGAAGGTGGTCCAGTGCCTTGCCTCTCCTCAATAATGGTTCTGAATTGAGTAGACCGGGGCTTCACAAAAAAATTACTACTTGGGGCGTGTTTTAGCTGTTTTTTCCCTCGCAAAATGTCTAAAATACAAAAACATCAAAATGAATCCCGTAAAATAAAAAAGAGTCCCTGTTGTAATGCTTGGAACACAGAAATTTTGACTAAAAACATTCTGAAAAACTTTTTTGTTTCAATTTTGAGCGTGTAAAGTAAGTCGTATAATATGAAAAGCATTTTAAGAGTCGATAAATCTTTGAATGTTGTTGAAGTTTTCGGTGCTACTTGTACATCAACCGTTATCCTACGTTTCATTTTAGGTTAGTTTTACCAAAAGTGTGTTCAATATTAAACAAAATCTAGAAAAAACTGTTAGTTGGAATTTTATTTTGACAATTTGCCGGTCGAACAACTTGCAATTTAAGTAAGTTGTTTGAGAATCATTTTGATGGCATAAGACCAGTCGAAATGCAGCAAAACTAGAAAAGTTTGAAAAATCCAACGGTATTATACTGTTTTTAGTTAGAGAATTGGAGGTTCTTTAGTTGAGACTGTCAGGGGTGGATTGTTAAGTTTGACCGAAGATGGTTATACGCAAATTGCTTCCGAGTTGTAAAAATAGATTGCTCCCGAGTTTGTTCTCGGGGTGGTTTCGTTCCTCCAAGCAAGTATGGTTTCATCTAGCAATTTTAAGAAACAGTTGGGACCTTCAGGGCTCCGCCTTGATACGATCAGTCTAGATTTATAGCTTGGGATTTTTATCATGATAAAGTGACATGTTGTTACCACCCCATTATGATTTGATACGCCTACAAATAAAAGCAGTAAATTACCTTTAGTGCTTTCTTTTCATAATTCGAGTTTTGCTGCATTCTGATTGGTTTAAAATTCGACTAAATTAATCTATTTGAAATTTACTCGCCTTCCTAATGGGGGGAATAAGAAAAAAACGGTGGGTATTCACAAGTACCAAGATGATAAATCAGTCCCATTTGTACCAAAATAAAAAATCAATCGTTGTAGTACCAAAAAAATCAATTGTCCAAAAACTACTAAGCCGACCATTTTAAGGTCTCTTGGTTTAAGGTCGCCAGTGGGCGCGCTACGCGCGCGTCGCCCCTTTGCGGCGATAACCGGCTCTAATTTTCGTATAGGGTCCTACCCTCTGTTGGCAAGCGCATCACGTTGGCGCGCTGCGGCGGTCACTATTCTGCCGTTTAGTTTCCTTCTGTTTGAATAGTAGAAAACTAATGTAATAATTTGTTGGCTCACAATTCGACCAATCAGAAATCGAGTTGAATATTTTCGGTACAAATGGGACCGATTTTTCATTTTGGTACATTTGCTCGTTGGTACAAATGGGACTTCTCCAAAAATTCTTAATTTTCGCCTAGATTTATTCGCTTTATTTGAGTTTTTCGCGCATTTTTTTTAAACATTTTTGAATAAACAATTCGATGGCCTAAAAAATACCGAAAATAAGTTTCCAACATTCGGTCCCTCCATCATGAGGGACGCCACCTGTGAGCGAGGTTCGAAATTTCATTCAAATGATGCTTGAATTAGGGCTGTAAATTAGCGGTATCTACTTGATAATCTCCACGGTGGAATCCCTCATATACGAAGGAACGAATGCGCGAAAATAAAAATTAGCCAGTCAGAATTCAGTAATCTAAATTTTGGAATGAAATTAAACATTTCCAGGGACTGAAATATGATATTGGCCGAAAAAAAACGGCAGAAATACGCATAGTTTTCAAATTGTCACTGACCGCCGCCGAATTGGAACAAATTTTAGATTTCAAGGGTTTCGTTATGAAAGATGCAACATATTGTTTCATTTAGTTTATTTTAATTGAATGGTAATTGCTTCTTTTTAAAAATTGACTTTCGGCTATCTTTGTTTTCGGTCCTTCGCTCACAAGTTTTTTCGCGCATTCAGTGCTTCGCGCATGAGAAGAGCCCCCAACCTCCACCCCTACGAATAAATTCAGTAAATTTGCACAGAGGTTTTTTGCTTGAAAGGGGGATTGTTATTTTGAACCCTGGACTTTCCGACCGATCAGAATGCAGCAAAATTAGAATTTGTAATAGAAAACTCTGTGCTAATTTAGTGTATTTATTCATAGGGGTTGAGATTTTTAAGTAGATACCATAGGGGGTGGGGAGGTTGTTAAATATATCCAAATCCAGCCAAAAACCAAGTTAAATCTCTCTCCCTTTATCAATATAGGAGGATGATAACATATTTAACATTTATTTCTAGTTTTGATTTCTATCAAGCTGACAAGATTTTAAATATCGTTAGCCACGCCTCAAAAAATCACGAAAAAAAAATACAACGGGCTGTATGTATGTATGGGGAAAGATGCGTCCCTAGTACATGCCTTGCTCTCTAAGTAATTCCACTAATTATAAGTACCTTGTTATTAGCTAGATGTATTTCTTGCAATCCTGCAAAATTATGTTTTTCTTGAATTATGGTTATCTTTTAAGTTCTTGCAAGAATCGTACAAGATCTTGACAAGATATACACACATCTTGTAAGAAACCTTCCAAAAATTGTGAAAAATCTTGCAAGAGAACCATTGGCTATTAAATAGGGTTGGTCTTTTAAGTGAATGAATGAAAATAATAGAAATTATTTTGTTTAAGGGACCGGTATCGATATGATAAAGTAAATTCAGTGCCAGGTGTTATGCCGCTCAAATCGGTCTCTCTGGTTATGACTGCTACAATTAGTTTTTTGGTCTCATCTTATTTCCAATCAGTTGAAGGTACGATGAAAAGCCACAATCCGAGACAATAGCAGGGAGACGCTTGAGCAATATAGTGGCCACAACTATGCATACTAATTATAATGCAATATCATTTAATTTATTTATAATTTAAGCAATATTAGAGCAATGCAATACCAAAACTTTAAACGTTAAACATTAAATGATGTTATATATGTTTGAATTGAAGAAGGGGATATTTTATATGTTATTCTAATAAAAAAAATTTTCATTACACTAAGACTTTGATTACAGTTCAGTTTAAAATGAATTCAATCTTTGAAACTTTGTTTTTATTTCTGTGTTCGCTGTAGGCTCCTGGGTCATCAAATGTTATTTAAAAAAATTGAGCAAAATTCAACGGTTGACGAAGAATCAACCATATGATCACAACAAGCTCCCTTAAAAAGAAACTGAATCAAGCCCTGAATGTTCCGACTGCCTTTTGAGGTTTTCGTACCGTTAGGAAGAGTGTTCGCTTTTGAAAAAAATGTTGAATATCTAAAAAAAACTAAAAAATTTCAAAAAAAAATATATGGAAATTTTTTGAAAATGATCCTACTCTGCTATGCAAAGTACAAACTGATAAATTTTTAACGAAGAATTAAATAGATCAGGTAACATGCCTCAATTCAATTTGTAACGGTCAGACTTAATCTCCGCTTATGCCGTAAGATCACGATATATATCGAATAACAGTTTCATTTCGATTGAATTCAAAAACAACTGGTTAATATCACTGATTCAATCTTCAAAAAACGTTTGATCTTGAAGTGTTTGATATTAAACATTATTTTTTTTGTGCATAATTTTTCTGATCTCGTTAAAATGGATTCTGAGGATGATGTTCGTGGTCGTTTGGAGACAACTCAAATGTCAATTTCATTGATTATAAAAATAGCAGACAAAAAAAAGAGTTTAGGAACTTGAATAAAATCACATGTGACCAACATATTCGCACAAATTTTTGGAAAAAAAAACAAAATGATATCGAAGAAAGGCTGAGAGCGCAAGAGCGATACTCACTCAAGTACAGTATCTTTATTGCAAACTATTCTTCCGATGTTAGTAGATTAATTGACGTAACAATCGAGGCTGATAAAAATATTGAACTGAAATTAAAATAGGAAAAAAACTTGCCATTTTCTGCCAAGGAGTTCACGAGTTTTTTTGCGAACTTTGATAATAGGTTCGACATGGAACAGCAAGAGCATTTAACAAAAAAATAAACCATCAGACAAAAAAGGATTCACTTAAGCGAGCCCCTGCCGGAAGCAGAAGCAGAAATATGCAGCTAAGCAGATGGGTCTTCAGGCCGTCTTGAAAATGTCGTTCGCGATCAGAACGGAATATGAGGGCATATATGTCAAAATATAGTGTCAATGATCTGAAAAAGCTTGAGAATATTTCAAAAAAATGATATTTTAAAGTTTCCAGAGAGGGTGCAACTGCTCAAAGAGCGTCTCCCAAAGTAAAGAGACATTATGTTTCCCCAAATCAAGCGCTGAAAGCGTCAGCTTCTTCAGTCCAATGAGGAATTTATTTTTGAGTAATATTTTTTGAGTTTAAGTTATTGGTAACAAATTGAAGTTTAAGTTTTGAGTTAAAATTGACGATCAAGCAGCAGTCTCTTTAAATGTCTTGTTTCTTTAATTGAAACTTCATGGTTTTTTAGTTGCCATCTGAATATTGTTGACATCTGTGAACTTGTAAATCAGTGTGAAATAATCCGTTTTTTGTGTAGCCTAATGTCTGATAGGTTTTCGAAACACAACCAATAGGTCAGAGCAGGTGTATTTCAAAACGACTTTTCAGTACAATATCAATTGTATGATAACTTTTTAACAGCCCCGGGATTACGCGTTGTACATTTCAATCAAATCGGGATTTTACTAACTTAAATAGTAAGTTATAGTAAACCAACTTAAAAGGAAGCACCACAAAATGGTTGTTTCATGACATTATTTTGTCTGGAATTGCGAAAAGTAGGTACAGAGCAAAAATATCATAGCCAGCATAAATTGAAACCTAATTTTAATTTTTCCCACTAAACTACTACTAAAGCAGATGTAGTAAGTACTTCATGCTGCTGCGCGAAATTTCTTAACGAAAAAGATGAACAAAGACTTATAAGTGGCATCAAAGTATAATTTCAAGCAGCTCGTTTTTACTTAAGAACATAAGATTATTTTGGGTTCAAGTAAGATAACATAAGATAACGAATTTGAATTTTGGATTCAACTCTAAATCAAAAGTCAAAGTGGTGTGTATAAAGTAAACTGGGTTGAAGGAAAACTATTCAATTAGACCATTCAAGTTTTATGGGTTTCAACTTTTATTGATTTTTCAAGAAAACAAATGAGGAGGTGAAATAAGTTTCCATGTCAAATAAAGTGTCAGTTTGTGAAGCACTCTAAAAACTTGATGATAAATATATCGGAACTCTGGGTTTTCGAATTGTGTTAAAGTATTGCAATAAACTCATAAATTTTAATTGATGGTTTTCAAAAAAAAAATTTTAAACAGTGCCAAAAAATCAAAATCAGTTCGTTTTTAGATCAAAACCTGGCTTTATAGATGTTGTTGTATCGCTTATTGAGGAAACTAGGTTTTACTTGACTGATCAACCCATCCTAATTCATTTGGCATTCAAAAATTAAAAAAAAAACTTTTGACGCAGTCAACTAGAGTATTTTGCTGGATAAATGCGAGAAATAGATGAAGTTATTGGGCCAACTTCTTTTCATCTTGAACAAACGATGTAGAAAAAAAACAACAGTCCTCAACAATTTAGTAACATTTCAATCTATGCAAAAGACACAGTCGTAAAAAATCCTCAATCAAATAATCTGAATGGAATTCACCAGGAAAACTTAGACGAAGACAGCTTTTAGCTAGTCAGCAATCAGCTAATACTTACAACAGAAAAAACCAAGACTAAACTCTTCCTTGAAAAAAAGCCGTAAGGTTTTTACAGCTACATTAAAATGGTGCAGAAAGTGAAAACCCAAAAAGTTTTTTTATCTTGGAAAAATTAACGGTCGAGAACCAAATTTTATCTTCTGAAACAAAAAACAGTACTGTGGGCTCTGTAAAAAACTGAGAAACATTTTAACCAAAAAACAACTTTCGGCCTTTAAAGATTTTTCCAGCCAGTTTTACAATAAGGAGTCCTCGTTTACGCATCAATGGACAGAAAAAACTTGTATCATCTAGCATTGCTGCTGAAACTTTTTGTAGATGAATTGTAAAACAAAAAATTGAAATACTCGTAGTTGAAAAGAACGGAAAAAAACTCTAATTCTTAAAGCATTACATTCCCACGAACTGCTGAACATTTTCAACCAACCAATACGGAGTGATTGCCAATCCAAAATTTAAAGTTTTATTAAAAACAATTGCCTAAATTGCTAAAAAAAATTTCGCGTAGAATAAATATAGAAAGAGCTGTCACAATACACAACAAAAGTTTGCATCAAAGCACTCAATTGCTGCTAAATTTTGTGTTCTCCTCAACAGTTTTTTTCTTTTAGTTCACTTATTTTCTCATTTTCAGAAATCATAGAAATTTTCAAATGCCAGGAGCAAAACAATCTCAACCATAATTTTTTAGATAACCATACTCGAGCTAACAGTGGCCTAATAAGAACAATTTTTTGTTTTAAAATTGAAAAATCTAAAAATGCCTCCTTAATTATTTTTCGAAGCTATTTATTCGAAGTTTTGTTTTCTAGCAAACCTTCAATTTCTATTTCTAGCAAACGGCTCCATCTTTAGCGGCCCGGCCGGTACTCAGTCTATAAAAACGTCCCTCCTGCTACATTTCTGTAATCATGAAGGGTCCCTTCCACTTCTTTAGGAGCATTTTTTTTTCCTTTCGATGGTATAACGTTTTGAAATACCCATACGTAGTCTCCTACTGAGTAAGCTTTTGCACCAGCTGTTTTTTTATCGAACCTTTTCCTCTGCCTTGCCTGCGCCTGCTGAGTGTTCCGTCTACACAAGTCGTTTGGTTCTTGTTGACGTCTAATCACATCCCCTACGTAGACTTGTGGTGATGTTTTCTTCACCTCATATTCTGGGTAAAAGAAAGCCAAGGCCAAAAACTTCTCGTGTCCGGTTAACATCATATGTGGACTAACTCCGGTGGTAGAGTGTTGCGCGCTGTTGTAAGCTCCCATCACCTGTGGAAGGTATCTGTCCCAATCGGTCATAAACCTGGAACAATATACCCTCAGCATCGACACCAACGTCCGATTCTGCCTTTCGACTAAGCCATTCGTCCGGGGATGGTATGTCGTGGAGTGAGCTTGAGCCACCTGTGAGCGTCTCATGATTTCTTTTGTAAGTTCTCCACGAAAGCTGTTCCGTTATCCGATTGAAACGTCATCGGACAACCATGTCTCGCTATCCACGTATTGATTAGATGATCGGTCGTCTTTTCTGCTGAGGCAGTTATGCAGGGCAGGGCTACTTCATACTTCGTGAAATGGTCTATCATGACCAAGACCTAATTATAGCCACTTTCTGTCATACATGTTTTCTAGTGGTCAATCTGCATCACCTCGTTGAATTCGGATGACTCGATCGACTGCCAGGAAAATCGCAATTTCCTTGGATTCTTGAGCTGTTGGCTTGACAGACATGCTGCTACCCACTTCTCGCATGACTTCTTCATTCCAGGCCACTCAAAGCGCTTCAGGATCCTCTGGTATACTTTATCGACTCCCTGATGGCCCATCTGATCATGCGACCTAAATAAAAGTTCTGTCTTATAGAGTTGGGGCAACACTATCGCGTTGTATTTGTACAGGACTTTGTCTTCTTCTCTTCTCTTACATGCCACGATCCTGTCCTTGATAAGATATAACCTTCCCCCTTTTTGCATTAAATAATGTCTCAGCATACGGTAACTGTCTTCCTCCAGGTCACGGTCACCTTTGTCTGATGTTCCATTTTTGATTCACCTTTTCAAGTTACTAGTCATGCGGTCATTTCTTTGTGCTCTTAGTAGGTCTGAGGGTCGGTATCTCGCCTTCAAGTACATCTTCATGACCCTCAAAAGACTATTCGTTTCATCGGGCTGATGCGTGTCTTCTTCCAACTTCACGCACCAAATTTTCGCCAATGGCTTTGTCTCTTGCCTGAAGGGCGTCTCGATACCGCTATTGTTTCTAAATCATGCTGCGTTGTCAAAGACTGTTTCGCTGCGTAGCAGGTAGCGATCACTGTTAGGGTCTTGACATGAATCTCTGTTCAGGTCTCTTGCTCGAGTCTCCACTAGCAACGTGTGGATCACTAGCTCCGACAATTCCGATCCTGTGTTTGAGTTCCTGTATGAGTATGTGTCAATTCCAGAATTCCTCGAAATGTAATCAACGGAAGAACCTGTCACTGAGAATGTTTCTTCCTCGGGGTCAGTTTTATGCGCTCTGTTATCCAACTGAACTCCCCGGACAAAATTTTATCCTCCAGGTCTCGTTCCTCACCTTGAACAATTTCCTCTACATCTGCCTCCCCGGACAAACTTTCTTGCCCCAGGTTTCGTTCAATCTCTTCGCCTTTCTGATCCTGATTCTCAAAGGTGACGGTTTTCCTTTGTTTCCCTTTCACCTGTTCTTTTCGTTTGTATGATGTATTTGTCAAGACGTATTGGGTTATCGAGGATACTAGTTGCTGAACTATTGTCCTACAATCCTTTTCTTCTACCTGGTGTTGACGTCTTGATGGCTTGATCTTTTCTTTCTCACTGACTGTTAGCGATGCCAGGGCTGCTGCCCACTCGGGGCATCTCTAGTCACTTCTCTGTACAACAATTCACCCACCATCTGCATCACTTGCGGAGTAACCTGCACCGTTTTATCCAGTAATGAGAGGCTGTTTATGTTCATACGAGAGAGTTCCTGTTGGACAAGGTTCGAACATAGCAACAGATCCAAAGATACCGGGTTCTTTTTTGAAAAGGTCTTTATTTCCGCTGCCTTTTCCACCGGTAATTCGGGGTGTCCCGGAATTGGATGTCCAGATTTGTCTACCATCTTGTCAAGGGAAGGGCCTTATAAGTTTCTTTCCAGAAACGAGAACCCTTCCTTGATTTCCACCTGATTGGCTTGCTTCTGTTCAAGTCTTTCATAAAACTCAGTCTTCTTGCTGAGGCTGTCAGCATTTTGATGTTTGTCACCCATCCTGTCATCGATTATCAAATAGTAGCCGTCTAATCTGACTATCCACCCGACCAATATAGCTCTGGTCCATCGAGTACGTCTTCAACCAGGATAACGCTCTATTGTCCACGCGTAACTTAAAGGGAGCGCTCCCTAAGTATGCGCGGTACTTCTCCACGAATGTGACCACTGCAAACATTTCTGCCTTTGGTGCACCATATTTCATTTCAGTGTCACTCAACACTTTACTGCCATATGCAATAGGACGGAGAACTGTTCATCCATTCCATTCCTGCTCCTGGTGCAGTATTCCTGAGATGGCCACTACTGATGCATCTGTGTCAAGAAAATACATGCCCTTCTCTGTAGACATGCCTAGCACTGGCGCTTCGCGCAGCTCCCGTTTTATATTCTCGAAGGCAGCTTGAGCTTCTTCGTTACATTCGAATTTCTTTCCTTTGTTGCGCATCTGTTTTTGCATGGGCTACACCTTGTATGCGTTTCCTTTTATGAACTCACTGTAAAACTTGGCAAACCCTAGGAAGCTCATGAGTTGTGTGTCCGTTCTGGAAGCCTTCCATGTCAACACAGCCTCTACTGCTACCGGGTCCGGTATTACGCCATGCCAGTTACTTGATTTAATCCCTAAGGCAGAACCCTAGTCCAGTGTGGTGAAGAACTTGGCATCACCAAGTTTCGAGAGGCTCTCGTCGATTCGCGGTATCGGGTACGCATCTTTTATTGTCACTGCGTTTAGGTAACGAAAGTCGCAACAGAACCTGAGCTGCCCTCTTTCTTCTTGGCCATGACTACCCCGCAAGCCCAAGGCAATTTAGAGGGTTCCATCATGTCGTATTCGGGCAGCATTTCGTTTTCTGCTCGGCACGCTTCCAATTTATGAGGTGTCATTCGCCGTGCGCTTTCCCTATGGGGAATGGCGCCCTCCTCTAATTCTATTTCGTGTTCGACTAAGTTGCAGCAACCGATGTCTGCCTTATGTGTTGAAAGTTTGTTCACATTCCAATTTGAAACCGCGCCTAATGATTCAAAATCTCCCTCACCTATTTTCCCTCTCAAGTGTTCTATCTCCGGCAAAACCGGTTTGTCGTTTTTTATTTCATATGACGAGGGGCGTTCCGGAAAATTCGAGCAGCTCGACAACCGTTTTCAAGTTTTCCGAGATCAAGTTTTGTGTCTCCTCATAGTCGCTTTTCATTGGCAAAGCGTAACCAAGTTTCTTTCCCCGTTGGATCAAAACCATGGTGTCCAGTGTGTTCAACAAAACACTGGCACACAGCCCGTTTCTTCTTACTGAAAAGCTCCGGCCTAAAAAATCACCGAGATTTGACTATTTGGGTTGGGTACCAGACAAATTTGTTTTACTATCACTTAACAAACTTAAATTTCTCATCCTAAAAATTGCTATTACAGCTTTTCCCGGCTGTAGTTATACCTTTCTATCTAAAAAAAATTGGTAACTTGTTTTCATCTGTTAATATTCAATTAATTGGTTTCTTAACATTCTTCCGGTCCGGGTTTCTAATTTTTATTAGGCCGTTGTTCAAGGCAATCATCACATCAAAATTCTGGACAAAATCAGGGCCCAAGATGAATTGGTCTAATTTTTCAATCACTAGGAAGCTCATCCAAAGATCGTGTCCTCCCATGTGAAGGACGTTATTGGTATGCTTCCGGCCACATAGATTGCTCAGCGGTTGGCGGCCGCCAATCTGAGGTTCGTTGTAATTAGATTTTCCCTCGTGAAGCCCATTCTTTCCCACGCGTCAGTCTTTTTCGGCATCACGCTTACAACTGCTCCCGTATCCAGAAGCCCCGTGACTCCGATTTTCTTCCCGTTGGTGTCGAGCATATGTGCAGTCACATCTGCTTCGTATTCATTGTGAACCGCGTCTTATTCCATCATGGCGTCATGGCCAATTCTGCGGACCTTGAGTTCTTCCTGTCCCAAACATATCTGCCCAATTTGGTCACTATCTGTTGTGACGTAGGTCCTAGTGTAGATACATATCCCGTCAACGTTCAACATCACTTGATACGGTCCATAGACTTCCACTTAGCGCCCGTGGAGTTTCTTTGTTCGAGGGCCACCCGTTGTCAACAATGCTCCCACAGCCCTCGACTTAGTGCGTGGCTCTACCTGTCTCAGAAAATCTGCATATGTGTCTAAATGCGTCATAGTGAACTCTGAGGGTTCACTCAGGTTCCTGATCACCTGATGTCCCGCAATTGAAATTATTGACTGTATTCTGCTTCCTTGTGGCACTATGCCGAACGTCTTCCCATAAATCACGTTTAGGTCCATGCTCAAACTGCTTGGTGCTTTCGTTTCTTCGACTTCTGATGCCTCGAAGAGGTTCAGCTTTTCCTGAGTTTTCTCATTCTCTAGTACTAGCTTCACCTTTTGTTCGATCTCCTTCGTCACCAATTCCTGCAAGTCTCTGTTTGGAGCATCCCTTGCGGCTGCCCTATAGTCGATCTTGAAGTCATCTGCCGCAGTCACTGGTTCCGGTTCACGTATCTCTTCCGTTACTGCCTGCATCTTCTTTGTTGCCAGCTCTTGCGGTTTTTCCTTTCTGCGTGCCTCTGCTTCACTCAGCAGGTGAGCCTTGCTGGCTTTCACTCCCGATAAAGCTTCCTCATGCCTTGGATGCTTGATGTCCGCCACAGCATCCCAAAAATTGTAGACAATCCGACTTAAAATGACCTTCTAAATTACAAAAGAAACACCTTGGGCCGAATTTCGCAATTACTCTCCTCATAAAACCTTCATGATCGACCTCAGACGCATCTTCAGCCTCGTGGCTTAAGCCTATTGCTTTCATTCCCTGTTTGTAGGTTAGGCGTGCTGACACAGAATGGTCCGTCGAACAGCAATTTGCACAAGAGCGTCTCTTGTCCATATCGTCCCTTGTTTTGTACCAGTTGCACCTTGGTTTGCTGGTCCATTGTTAAAATTGCCATATTTGTTTTTGTAATATCCAGATCTCGATGGAGGCTTCAGTAAAAAATATTCTTTTGACTTGAGTCTCAACTCCTCTGGTGTTGGCGCATTGGTCGAAAGTGGTGTGTAATGTGTCGCTAACATCGTTCGAAGCTCATCATTCTTCACACCATTGATGAATTTTGAGGCTACTGCCAGGTTCATCCTT